GGTCTTGTTAACTAAAACTAAAATGATTAAAAATTGTTTAATAACATTTGAAAATGTTAAATAAAAATAAATCTGAAACTATATAAAATATGAACTTTTATTATATAACTTAAAAACTTGTAAATTAGAAATGTTGCCTTGTCAAGTAACTGAAATAAAATACCTTGTAACGTAATAATTTGAAGTACTAAAATGACTGACTAAAACTGAAATAAATATAAATTAAAGGTAAATAGAAATATTTATTCATTATGATAGCATGACAGTTTGATTGTTATTCCCTTCAAAAATATATAAAAATTAAATTTAGTTCAGGAGTTTAAAAGAAGCTCATCGTAGAAGAGGTTTATCATAGAAGTCATTGGCAATTTTATGTATTCCTTGATTAAATGAAAGATCTGATGCTCAAAAAATTAGCCTTATCTCACTGACTTACCAGTCATTGTTTGTACTTTTATGGACATTTATTGTTGTTCAGGTGCGACGGTTGAAATCTCACCCCTCTGTGGTCATCTGGAGCGGGAACAATGAGAATGAAGCTGCCATAGCAACTGACTGGTTCAACATACCTGTTGCTGAGCGCCCACTGTACGTGAAAGACTATGTCAAACTGTATGTTGAGAACATCAGAGACATTGTGCTGCAGGTGAGACTGAGAGACATGCACACAGACTTACATCAAAGTACTATCTTAAGTCTTATCAATGGATGATGTGCTTGAATTCAGGAGGACAGCACTCGTCCTTTTCTAGTGTCCAGCCCAACCAATGGGGTTGAGTCTGAGAAGGAAGGCTGGGTGGCTCAGGACCCCTATGACCCCCACTATGGAGACACTCACTATTATAGCTATTACAACGATTGCTGGGACTGGACTGCTTTCCCTCGCACACGCTTTGCCTCAGAGTATGGCTTCCAGTCCTGGCCTTCATTGTCCACGCTTCGTAAGGTACTACACTTAATACAAGTCTTCCTGCTTTCTTTTTTTTTTAGTTTGGAACACCAAGTTCCAAGTTAGGCCTGACTAAAGTCACTAGTTTAAAAGGTGACGTGTGTCCTTTTTATGCCAGTAGTGGCGCCAAACTGAATTGCACAAGTAATGACTTTCCACCTTCAATTGTTTGGACAAACAGACCGAACGCATGCCATTGGTTGAGCCAATTTCAACAATTCATCAGAGCACATTCATAAGTGCAGTAAAAAACTGGCCTTCGTAATCTTTCATTAAAACCTTTGTGAAAAAGAAGTACACTTTAGAATATTTTTAAAAAAGTATACTTATGGAAATAATATACTTAAAGTATATACTTTAAGTGCAAACTGAATATAATGTTTTCAGACAATTGCATGTTAATTGGAATTTAATGAAAATATATTATAGCTTAATTAAATTTATATCAAATATGTAGCTGAACTTTAGAGTGTTTTCCCCCCAGTTAAGTAGGATGTAAGTACATCTTTATATGTAATTTCAGTAATTACTTAAAATTACTACTAATTGCCTTTTGTAATTCTATTGTCTTTGAAATATGGTTATTATACATGAATGTAATTTCTATTGAAACTTGTGTCATGTATTTAAATATATTTGTAATCACACATTTGAATTGAAGTTGCAATGTAGTACATTTAAAATATATTAACTTTTAAACATCAAATTTCCCAATACGGTTAAAATTATAATAAAGTTCATGTACGTGTTTTTTAGTATGTTAGCCAACACATCAAAATAAGTGTATTTCTTTGACACACAACAAAAGATTACTAAACATGATGGTTTAAAATGTACTGTACAGTAAAACTTTTAATGTGACATTATTACAAAGTGCACTTTTTAAAAGTGTGTTAAGAAACACAGTCAGGCAAATATACTCTTTAAGTACACTTAAATGGCCCTTTATTTCATTAATATATTATCTGCAAGTACAGTTTAAAAAAAAAAAATTATATGTAGCATACTTATAAGATTTGAAGTACACTAGAAGTGCATATTCAATACAATTAAGCACACTTCATTTTTAACAAAGGGAATGAATATTTATAAGCCCTCTTATTTTTCAACTTCTCCCCTCCAACCAGGTTTCAGTGTCTTCAGATTGGGATTTCAGCAGCAATTTCTCATCTCATCGGCAGCATCATGAAGATGGAAACCAGCAGATGCTAAAGCAAGCAGAACTACATTACATTCTCCCCAACAGCACAGACCCCGTGCAGAAATACAGAGACACTATTTACATTACTCAGGTGAACAATCTATAAATGCACTACAAGTTTTGCCATCTCAGCAATACATTACATTTTAAAATACAATAAAATAGAAAACAGTTATTTTAAGTTGTAATAACATTTCACAATATTACTGTTTCACTGCATTTTTGATCAAATAAATGCAGCCTTGGTGAGAGACATTTTTTCAAAAACATTATTAAAAAAATCTTACAGACCCCAAACTTTTGAACGGTAGTGTACAGCGGTAGTGTAGTTTTTGGACATGTGCCTGATATCACACTCTTTGGTTTGAACAGGTAATGCAGGCACAGTGTGTGAAGATTCAAACAGAATTCTACCGCCGCAGCCGCAGTGACATCGTCGAGGGCAAAGGTCATACAATGGGCACTCTTTACTGGCAGCTCAATGATATCTGGCAGGGGCCATCCTGGTCCTCTGTAGGTAAATGAATAACGACTATTGCTGTTCATCACTATATAGAGGAAAGCCTTCTTGTTTATTAAACGTCATTTTAATGGTAATTTATTTGTTAATGTGAGCGTACAAAGTTAAAGTATGCTTCTTGACTGGGAAATCTCTCGCACATTCAGAGTTTGGTGGTAAATGGAAAATGCTGCACTACTGGGCTACAGATTTTTATGCTCCTATACTGTCAATGGGGGTTGAGGATAAGGGAGACCTCCTGATGTATGCCGTCTCTGACAGTCACTCTGAGCAGCACGATGTCAAAGCCAAGGTAGGAGGACAGTGCTTAGTAACACCTTTTTTTGTGGTTATTTTACAATATAATTGAAGCAAAACTGTGACATTAATTTATACTTGTAATATAGAAGCTAGGTTAGCACCACTTTTTACCCGGACTTATGAAACCCTGCTCTGGAGCAGAGTTAGCACTGCTTTTTTTGTAAATGATCCAGTGTTAAGGGGCATTCACACTACACTTTTCTTTCCATTGACTTCCATTTATACACATGTGAATGCGTCAGACCAGCTGCAATATATAATATGAGGATGTGCAATGCTACAGCCCTTATGTAAGCATATTGCATGCAGAATTCATCCAGTCAATGACATTGACAAGATGTCAATGAATAAGAACGTTTACCCAGGGTATAGGAATGTACAGAGTGAAAACTCGGTTTATATTTAACCAGGATTAATCTGTTAATTAATTGTTAACCTCATGATTGTTAATTATGAGCAGTGTGAAACGTGAAGCAAGAAAACCCAGGATTCTATTTACCAAGGGTTTGGAATGACCCAGGGTTAACTATTTCAAGTGTGAAAAACCCTATACTTCATCCTTGAGTTTTAAAAAAGTAAAATAGTCAAAATCATTCATATTTCCAAAAAAGCATGTTTCCAGTTCTTTGTTTTGGGCAAACCACATCTAGTACTAAAAGGCTTACTAGTGCTATAGTGTAAACATGATTTTATTTTTTGTTTACTTGCATTATTAAATTTATGAATTTTGATTGATATTTGTCATGTTCTATGTACTGTATGTTTATGTTTACACAGGTGAAATTATACAGCTGGAGCAGCTTTGATGCTGTGTGTTCTTTAGAGTCTAATGTGACTACAATAAAAGCAGGAGGGAGCACCCTTGTGTTTCAGCATCCTATATCTGCTCTCCTGACGCAATGTGGGAACTGCACACGGCGCTCCTGCATCGTCACCTTTCATCTCAGTAGCCCGGAAGGTCAAATGATCAGCCCTCACAATCACATCTTCCTCAGCTCTCCACGACATGCAGAAGGTTTGCAGAAACCCAACATCACGGTGAGAGAGACACATTCTCAACACACACCGTTTACTAATGCACTCACTTCGGCTAATTCACTCATTTGCCACATTGCTAAAATGGGCTTCTTCACAAACGGAGGCGTTACTGAATGTAAATGACATCTGGTGCTTTTTCTTAAGAAAACGAATCCCTCAAATGACTGACAGGTTGTTGTTGTTTTTTTTTTGTGTATTGCAGTTTACTGTAAAGGATGCTGGAATTATGCAGAACTTTGTCGTGACGTTGTACTGCTCCTTTCCTGCTGTGTATGTTTGGCTGGATGTAGATGACATTCCTGGTGACTTTAATGTCAATGGCTTCCTGATGCTGTCTAAAAACTCCACAGTTACCTTTGGAGCATGGAGACCCACCACTGCCAAAGAAATCACTGCAAATCTTCATATCACGTCTCTCAGAGATGTCTACTGATTTTATGATGCATAGTTGTCTGACTGACAGCTTATTTACAATCTTTTATACAAATAAAAATTGCGGGGCCCTTTGTTCTCTACTCAGGATGGCCCTGTTAATTACTCTTAAATTTTTTGGTAACAATTTACAACAAGGTTCTATTTGTTAACATTAATGATTAATTGTAGTCAACATTTACATTATTAAAATCAAAAGTTGTATCTGTTAATATTATTTCATTGATTTGAGCTTACATGACAAACAATGAATATTTTTATTAACTCATTTTTAAGAGGGATTAATAAATACAATAACAAATGTATTGCTCATTGTTAATTAATGTTAATGAATTAACTAATGTTAAAATGGAACCTTATTGTAAAGTGTTTCCTTCTTTACTTTTAACATCAAATTGTTTCTAACCATATAAAACCAAAGTGCATAGTTCATTTTTGTGGTCAATACTTGAATCAATTGAAATAAATGGGTTGCAATAATATAAAGTGTGTGTACATTTTTATTTTTACTTAATGTGACTATTTTTGAAAACACTAAGTCATGGTTGATCAGTAGTCTTCATTGAGAAATGTGTGCAAATATTGGGATTCTTTTCAATGGTTGTAACTTCCTTCTACCATGAGATTGCAGACCTGAACACGTTGCAAGAGAGTCTGGAAAATGGTAAACAAAGACTTCATTGACACAGGGAGCGAGTGAGGGCCGCTCGCAGGCTGGCATATCAGTGTTTCGGCAGCAGTTGCTGTTCTTTGACCCTCGGTGCAGAAGAGCTCTGGCGAGGAATGGAAGAAGGCGCGTCAGATGTGTATTCCACTATCACTGATTGCCTCTGATTTGTAAAGCTGGAGAAATTTTTGTTACTCCCACGTCCACGAAATTGCAAATCATTTCTGAAAAGGAAATGAAAGAATTGGGTTTCTCATTTATTAACCTGCTGCTTCTGTTATTAGTTATTGTCTGGTTTTCCTCCGTCTTGACCGTCGACTGTATTAAACTTGCTCTCGGTAATATTAATCATATCGAAAGGATAGAAATATGGAGGAAAGTTTTCTTCGAAATGTTTTGCGCTTCTACAGTGAAGAAAACTCCCTGTCCACGGGGAACCTGGAGAACTTTCTGCACATCATTACCAGCCGCCGCGCGGCATCTGTCGATGATGACGCCAATCCGCTGAAGAACACAGAGGTGAGAATGTGTCCTTGCTCAGAAATTTATCTCTTCATTTCACTGTTTCTGCTACGTTTTCCCCCCATTATAATATAACAAGACAAGCGCAATTTTTTACCATACAACACTGTTTCTAGAACAAGCAACACAACTGAAAAGGAGTAAATGGAATATTTTAGATGAATCAAAACGTGTTTAGTTGTCACCTGTTTGATCTTCTGTTCTGCTTCCATTGTAATTTAGTACCTGTCCTGAAAGTATGGGTTCACTGTTTCTATAGAGGTTGAAAACCCTCAATAAATGATCTGAAACTTCATGATTGTTTTTTTAATGATTTTCAGAAATGGAATTGTCACCAAATAATTGACTAAACTTTGCATTTCAGACTTTATATCTGGAGTTGCTAACTAGTAATAGGAGCTACTTAGAATGAGACCTGTTTTGTTTAATGTCCTTTTGCTCTTTTCTTGATAGTGCTCATCTTTGTCAGAGCTGTTGTCTGTCTTTGGATTGGGTAATGCTTCTGTGGTCAGTCTCAATGATCTGGAGATGATGTGTCCAGCTATACTCAATCAGGTCCTGATCCCTGCCTGTCCTTACACATTCCCCTCAAACCTTAATGAATCTGCTTCTTTACCTGATCACAAAGGTGAGTCTGATTACCACAAAGCCCTTCAGTTTAGTGGCAGTGGCAAACATTGTATGGAGCCTGGAAAATATATTTTGAGCAATGAGGACATATGTCTGATATCATCAGTTGAGAGTCTGTTATCATCAGTTGGGAGTTACAGATTGATTTTGTAATGTTTATTGTGAGATTAAAGTGTATTTATAGTACAGTACGTTTTCTTGTCTGTGGTTTGAAACTACAGTACCAAGTATTACACACTTGTGTAATCTTGGTCTTTAACTTTTTTGTTTATGAATCATGATGGTTATCATAAGATAATATTCTTATCACATGCACAGATTATTTTAGAGAGGAAGTAGGATTTCCATGACCCATCATCACATTGTTGATTCACTCAATGTGAATCAGACCTTATTTTGTTAAAGGATCTGAACTTTACAGCATCAGTTTCTCATTTCACATTCAGGGAAAAAAAGCCTTTGTCTGATCCCATTTTATATGGTAATGATGTCCTAATAGATTGTACAAGAGATAGTATTTTACCAATAGAGAAATAATTCACTTCCCATGTTAGGTTTCCGTATTGGGATGCAGTAAAGTAGAACAAGTTACGTCATAAACTAAATCTACTATTGTTTTTTCTCACTTCTTGAATTGACCTGATGAAAATGTTTTCAGTATGCCTTAATATGTGTGTAAATTCCTCCTCAACTCTTTTTCCTCCTTCCTGTAGTTTGGGGTTATGGGTTCCTGGCTGTGACCGTGATAAACTTGGCAGCTCTGATGGGTTTATTTCTGGTGCCTTTGACGAAAAAAACATATTTTCCAAAAGTCTTGACGTACTTCATTGGACTGGCCATTGGGACACTGTTTTCAAATGCTGTACTGCAACTTATCCCGGAGGTGAGAATGAGTTACAGTGAGATTATTCGATGATACATGACCTATTAAATGGCTTACAAAGGTTACAAAAGCAGTCATAAAACAATTACTCATAATCTTCATGCATGCTGTCCTAATTCACTACTTTTTTTTGCCAGGCCCTTGGCTTAGATCCCAGAGATGATAACTATGTGCTCGACGTAGTTGGTATTTTTGGCGGATTTTACATTTTGTTCTTCACTGAACGAGTTTTAAAGATAGTACTGAAAGCAGATACAGAGGTAAGAGCTTAGATGTGTTTGGACGTTGTTCACTGGAATAGATTGAGCTGGTTTCTGGCCTAACGCAATGGTTCACCTCCCCATGCAGCTCGGACACAGTCATTTCTCTCCTCTGCAGTCATCTGATGTCACCATCTCCACCTTCAGCAATGACATAGTCATAAGCAACATCAGCGGTGACATCATTACAAACGACACTAATCTTGAAATGAACTCTATTAATGAAAAGTCCAACAATCCATGTGAGAGTCCAGCTGGTGAACAGGTAATTATCAGCGTTTCTAATTGCTTGTAAATCTCTCATCATGCTATATTATCACCAAATATTGGATTCAATCTTTTGTTGGCTTGTTTTCATTTCAGTTTTTGTATTTCTTTTTTGGTCGGTCATTTTTTTTAGTCCAATGCGATAACATTAACTAGTATTTTCAGGAAAAAGAAAATCCTCTCCAGGTCAAAATGACTGGAACACAACATGAGGGTTAAACAAAAATAAACATGTACAATTATAAATCATTATTGCTACACTAGTTTTTCCCTGTTAGTACTTGTTAGAGATGTTTACAAGATTCTCCAGATAAAAAAAGTACAATAAATATTAGACTATAAAGATTATTGATTTACAGAAGCACATTATTGATCTGGCATGCAGGCATGCTCACATAGAGTTTTTGCATTTAAAAAGTGAGGACAGTGGAATGAAAAAGCAACACTGGCCAAATACGCCCGTATAGCGCATGTTTACATAGAAAAACAATGAAAAAGCAGCTCTTGCGTCTGCCATCTTTTGCAGCGTCTCACGCATGACGCAGCGTTCCAAAATGCAATTCCAAGTTAAGATATAAACTTGCTATTTTGAGAAAAAAAAGTCTGTGTGAATGGCTTCTAAGAACGTATTTTGTGTGAACGGCCTCTAACAAAGTCTATTTTGTGGTCAATTTGTTCAGAATGCTTGCGCTTTACTAGCTTGTCGCTGGCTTAAAGGTGATGGAATGTCTAATATAAAGACTGTGGCGTGGATGATCACTGTCAGTGACGCCGTACATAATTTCATCGACGGTCTGGCCATCGGAGCGTCCTTCACAGTCTCTCTACTCACCGGCTTCAGCACCTCTATTGCCATCTTCTGTGAAGAGTTCCCTCATGAGCTGGGTAAAACACAGGCATAGAGACCTATCATCAAAAGATCATTTCAAATTGAATTTTTAAGTCTCTTTTAATTTTCTTTCTGTCTCCCTGTAGGTGATTTTGTGATTCTGTTGAACTCGGGCATGAGTGTTGGTCAGGCTCTGTGTTTTAACTTGCTGTCATCGATGAGCTGTTATCTGGGTCTTGGATTAGGGATCCTGCTGGGCAGAAGTTTTGCTCCAAATGCTATCTTTGCCATTGCTGGAGGAATGTTCCTCTACATCTCCCTTGCAGACATGGTGAGACATCTTACTTCTAACTGTGGAAAATGCTCAAATTAATTACAATAATGACTGCCTGACTGTACATCATCCCACTTATTAAAACTCAGCATAAAACATGGGCATGGAATATTGATTTGAAATTAAATCATTTTGATAATCTTAAAGGTGAACTATGCAGGTTTTTTACCTCAACCGAGCTTCGGAGTCATTGGAATGGTTATATTACTCTTTTCGGGTTGAATGGTGGTCGTTTCGCACCCCCCTAACGGAAACAACACGCTTGCAACTTTGAGCCGGCGTGGCGCCGGCTGCGATTTTTTTTTTTGCAGGGTGGTAGGGGAAGACTCGTTAATATTCATTGGGGAACTCGTCCCTGATTGGCTCGCCGTGACGCATCTCTAATGAGATGTGATAGAGAAAACAGACATCGTCTCCTTCGTGACAACAGACACTTTCACGAAGGTAAGTCATACCTGTCAACATTTGGTTATCCAAATCCGGGAGATTTGTGCGGAGACCGCTCACGAACTTCGCGAACTTCTGTATCTTTGCGGGGACACCGTCTTGACCTGCCATGTCAATCTGAGTGACATGTGACAGCGAACCAATTGCGGATGAGTTCCCCAATGAATATTAATGATTCTTCCCCTACCACCCTGCAAAAAAAAAATTCGCCCGCCGGCCGCAGCATCAGGAAGTGTCGCGTGATATCAGGTCTCGCGATGTAACGAATTGCTTTACGGCAAAAAAGATCTGATAAAATAAGCATCAAACAGAAATAACCTGGCGCCGTATACATGTGGTGTTCGAGGCGCACATACAATACAGACTGCCGACAGTTAAACAGGGCGCGCAGCTCTTAAAGGGGCCACACCTTATTTCAACTCGTTACAGCTTCCATCCTACTGTACCGGTGTACAGGGGGAGGGGATCAGGCCGTGAGTGCAGAGCATAGACTGTGCAGAGCCATCTCTGCGTGAGTGCTATTTACGACAGTACAAGTACTCCACAGCGACTCTAGGGGTCGCTGTTTGACAAAAACGGAATTCCTGCATAGTGCACCTTTAACCACAACTACAATGTACAAAACAGCTTGGCTGCATCTGAAATAGCATCTGACAAAATAAGTAGGTAGGCCTACTTACCTTGATTACTTCACAACCACTAAAAAAAAGTATGTTCACCCTGTGGCCTCAAGGGATAGTAAAGTGTTCATCAAACGCACACTTCAGAATCTCGCCGGAAATAGTAGGTCATCCGGGTACTTTTTGCTTACTGTTTGATGAGTACTGTGAATTCAGACATAGTTCTTTTGTCACACACTGCTTTTTGCTTACTATAGGAAGTATACGATTTCGGAAGCAGCCCTAGGCTGCGTTCCAGTCCACTTTTAGACACGCACTTGCAAACTTCCCTAAGCACTTCCCCTCGGGGGAATCCCTGCCGCCATTTTGGAGTGCGTTCCACTTCGTGAAGTGGACGAGGGAAGTTTATATGGACAGACACTTGTTCCCTCGATTTTGACCGAGGGAGCGAGTCTACTTCATATGTACACTTCAGGCAGCTCCATATACCACAATGCAACACAATTGTGACGTCACCGCAGATCTGTCTAATCACCACCACCACAAACAACTCTGATATATTAATTATATATATTTTTAATTTAAAACAACCCAAACACACCTATATACATTTGGATGCGGCATTAAACAAATTCTTAAAGGAATTTTTTTTAAATAATAAATCAACTCCATGGCTGATTCCAAGTGATCAAGGGCTTAGGACGTTCCAATTCAGCCAATTGCAGTTTCCGCCAGTAGTGGGCACTCATGCAACGTAAGCAATGACGTACATCCGAGTGAACAAGACGGAGGGAAGTTAGCGAGTGAAGGGCATGACAATTTTGGACTGGAACGCAGCCCTGGAGTCAGGACAAATCGGGTCCTCCCTTGAAATCAGGTTTCCACACCTATGGTTTCCACTAGGGTTCCCATTGGCTCAAAGAACTTTTAATGGGTACTCTCTTTAGTGCCTGATTACAATTCCTACAAAAATCACGTTATGATATGTTGTTTGAACTATGTTATAATGACCATTAAATGTCGGTTTTAGTTAGCTTAAGTACTAACATAACATACAAATACCCGATTAGCCTGATAACTTAGCTTACATACCACGCATTTGCATCCATTTGCATTATTTGACATCAGCCTAGAAATATAACAAATACTGCAACAATATTATGGTGATATCTTATTAATGCTAAAGTATTTTGAGATCATTTCCACTACAAACAATAAGTGAAATGCATGGTGCCAAGATTGGGCAAGTCTGTGGTGTGAAACAAGAGACATGAAAGTTACCCAGATGAACAAACAGTGTGGTCGTCGATGACAGTAAAAATTGCCCAAAAATGCCATGATTGATCAGAATCAAGTATTCCAGAAAGTCTCTTTAAATGTCTAATCACAGTGTGGGTTTTCCAGTTCCCAGAGATGAACAGTATCATGGCAGCACATACCAAAGGCTATCGAGGAAGGGTCGTGTTCTTCCTGATCCAAAATGCTGGGCTGCTCACCGGATTCACTATAATTCTGCTTATTACCCTGTTTGCTGGAGATATCAATCTGGGGTAGAAAGAAAAGAATTGAATGAAAACGAAGCAAAACAAAGAACAATTGTTTTCAGTGCCAGAAACCAAAAAATTGAGACAGACCTGTTGGTTGTTTTGTTTGTAATAGACTTGTACTGTATATGCTGTTGGGACAAATGTAACAATCGTTTTTTGTAATATGGTTTAGAGATGTTTTTGTTGATGTGAGTGTTAGTGTCTGATGTGAGCTGGCAACAATACCCCGCTGTGTGTGGAGGAATTCCTCAGTGGCAGTGGCAGCCTAGCACAGGGTATCTGAGCAGCTTTGTAGTCCAAATGCCAATGCTGCAGCACCTTTTGAGTGAGACTCTGTATCATGTTAATCACAGTCTTTAACCAAAGGATATGTTTCATTAGAGGAAAAAGTGGTTATCTGTGTATTTAAACCTTGTTTCCATCTACTGTATGAGTTACAACAGGGGCTTTCAAACTGGGTTCTGCATTTTGCAAAATATATTTCAACTATAAAAATTAAAAGCCACATATTTTTTTTTTTTTATATTTACTTCTAAAAATATTTCTCTTAAATTGTAATATTGTGTCAAAAAAGTTAAGCTGTTAACAAAAAGGGCACATTTTTCCAGATAATATTTAAATATTTTTTATATATTCATATATTACTGGTTATATAATATGTGTGTACTTTTCTGTTACCGGCTTTTTCTGTTACTGCCCCGGAATGACTTTCCATTATTAGATATTTCTATTTTTAATCTAATCTGAGACCCATTTTTATTCTTTGGCTTTTGATATTATTTGAGAGATAAAGTGATATTGTATGTTACTATTATATTTTCTTATTATTGTACAGTACGATATGTATGTATATCAACAGTTTGCATTAATCAGTTGACAACTTTGAAAGAAATTGTTCAACCAATTCATTATATTGAGTTAGAGGAACTTAATTTGTAACATTAACACAAATCTTTGAGTTAATTGCTTTAAAAAAAATCCATCTAAAGCCCTGGAACTAATTAATCTCATCTATTTCAGTAGTAATCCACAGCTATCATAGCACACTTATTTAGCATGTATATTTATTGAAGAAATAAGTTAACTTGTCGCTGTCATTGTTATTATCGTTGCTTATTGAATCAGTGTTTATCTTCATGAAGTATCCTCAGCACAATGGTAACCACAAAAACTTCACAAAAAAATTCAGATACTTTTTTTTTAATCTATCGCATCACATCTCCCATATTTCTTTGTGTCCAATAAATGGCGCTAGAGTTCATATCAGAGACTGGAGACTTTCGACACTGCCATCTAGTGAATTTGTGACTGTCTGTAGACATTTAAAAAATGGATAAGGTGTTTTATTTGACAGGCTTACACAATCGGGTTTTGATTACAAAACGAACCAAGATGTGCTATCACATATCACACTGACTGAACACTGGCTCGAAAACATTTATTTAATTGGACTTTAAATTAAAACCTATAGGCTGTAAGAAAGAAAAAAGGACAGTAATTAATAAGTGGAAGGGTAATTACAGGGATAGTTCACCCAAAAAGTGAAAATTCTGTCAAAAAGATATTTTGAAGAATAACAGTTGATGGACCCCAATGATTGTATGGGAGAAAGAAAGAAAAAATCCTTCTCTCCAGTAGATGGCGGTAGTGCTGATTCCGCTCAAGTTGCCATCGAAAGAGAAGAAGAACCGTTAGGACAAAGTAAAGCATTAATTTCAGTAGGATCATTTACAGCACAGGTAGGTCTGTTATTTATTTGTATATAAAAAAAATACGCAAATCCAGAAGGAACGTCACTTTCGATTAGCATAATTTATTTGCATGTTGTAACAGTTAATATTCAGTGCAATTGACATTGTAAATCTCTCTGAACACTTCCGTAAACACACAAATGCCTTATATTTCTTCACAGTCATCGAGTAAAGGTCAATAACCTGGAAATCTCATCTTATCAGGATCAAGGCGTTCTTGTGATCGAGTAATTTGTGAGTATCTGTGCCACTATATAATGCTGTGTCTTATGATTTTGATACAAATACAAACACTTAAGGCTGGAAAATTGAGATTTAATGCTGTTTAAAAAAAAAAAAAAATAATTAATGAAAAAAAATTCTTGAATTATTTATCAATTATCGATATCTAGATGACATGTAGATGTGAAATGTTGTTCACTTACAAGACAAGATTATAATAAGACAGGTGTAATAGGATTTGATATACTGGTACACACTCTTAAGCTTTCTGTGTTATTATTTCTGGCGTCATGCTTGATTTGAAGGTCATGGCTGAGGTGCAGTTTCGTCGCTACCGAGAAGAAGATCATGAAGAAGTAAAGGAGGTCTTTACTGTTGGTATGAGTGAGCACATCCCACCTTCCTGCATGCACGTTCTCAAACAGCCCCTAGCGCAGATGATTCTGGGATGTGCGTTTTGCGCTTTATTGACCAGCTCAAAGTCCATCCTTTTGCCTGTACTAGCAGTCACGCTGCTTTTGGCCGGAGGCCGTCAGGCTGTAAGTTACATGTTCACCAAGTACATTCAGACTACCCTTGATCAAGATCTCAACCACATTCAGCAGACTTACCTGGATCCACCTAAAGCCTGCTTCTGGGTGGCTGAGAGCCAAGGTCGTGTTGTGGGTACAGTAGGGTGTTTACCTGCAGAGAAAGATGAGAACTTCCTAGAACTGAAGCGGATGTCGGTTAAAAAGAGTCACCGTGGACAAGGCATTGCCAAAATGCTGTGCCGTATGGTGGCAGACTTCGCTCGTGAACGAGGTTATCTCGGAGTGATGCTCCACACCTCGGTGGTCCAGACAGATGCACAGAAGCTCTATGAGCACATGGGCTACCAGAAGGTCAGTGAATTTAATGCTCCAGATGTGATTGCCAAGCTGACTAATTTCACATTGATTGAGTACCAACTCATCATAAAACACCATCACAACTGAGACTGAGATCTGCATGTTATTGATGAACAGGCTTTTTAACACTGGTTCAGACCACTAAAGAAGCACACCACAATCATCATTTGTCTATTTCTTAATCATTAAAAAGGGTACTCTTCTTTTATAAGAAACTGTTCATATAGGGGGAAAAATTATTTCTTATATGAGTTCAAATTATTGTTTTAAAAATCTGATTTACTTTAAAAACCCTGAATAGAAGCAAAACACGGTGTCCAGATCTTGTCTAAGCAGCATTAATGTACCTGTGTCAATGAATGAGAATGAATATTTGAACATTCGGATGTGTACTTGAGTCCTTGAGATAGCTTGTGTTGCTTAAGATCATTTCAAATTTATTTATACTGTGCATAGCCTGTTCTCTTCTATGTAAAAAGAAACCAGTGCAGTTTTCTATAAATTTAAGTATATGTATTTGGTCAATGAGAGGCATGAGATGTAAGTGCCTTGAAACTGACCGATGCCGTTCAACAGAAACTGCGTGCAATGCTAATGATGTCACATTTCCACCTCTGTAGCATTGATGTTGATTACAATGGCAGCGAGAATGTGACAATGACATATCTGTATTAATAGTTTATGCTTATTAACAAAATAACATAATCATCTCTCCAATATTATCAGATGACCTATTACTGTTTTGTATTTTTAATTTATGAAAGAATGAAAAAACTGTGATTGTCCTGTGACTGAATGATTAAATGACTCTAAACATGCAATGCAACATTCATCTGGATAAAGTGATTTGTTCTAATGAGACCAAATGTAATTTGTTATAACAACATAAATCAATAAAAACTTTTTGAAATGTACTGTGTTTTAACATTTTTATTTGAAATGTCAGTAATGAATAGAACAGCTATTTTCAGTAGAATTTATCATCCTGATTTCTATTTAGGTTTCATTAGCTCCTGTGAGCAACATCAGTGGTCTGAAGTTGCAAAGATCATGAGATTTCTAAAGCATGTAGCTCAAATGATTAATTGTACAACTTATGTAATACTATAATAACCGTTTTAATTGAATCCAACATTTTTGGACAGCATTTTGCATAGATGCCATCTATTTGTAATTGGACCTATAACAGTAATAAAGCACGTTTGGTCTCTTTTATGTCTGATAGGTCGGATCTATGAATGGAGAAGCCTGTGTAATGGTATGTTTAACTAGTACTCATGACATTTACACACTCTAGACTACTTAACAACAAAATGTTGTGCTTTGTCATGCATTTAGGGTGATTTAAAAAAAAGCGAATACCTTTTTGTAACCTTCACAAACCGAGAAGGCACATGCTTTTATTGTAATATTTTGTCTTTCTTTTTTTCACTCTGATCTCAGTCCTAAAGTTTAGATGTTGTGGTATCAGATCCGTGAGTTTTGGCAGCTGTGAGGAGCTTATACTCCACTGGGTTCAGAGAGCATGTTGGAACTGTATCTTCTGTCCCTGAAGCAGCTATGGACTCAAACTGTGCTGTGTGGAGTCTTCCGTCTCATCTATATCCTCTCCAGCTCATTTCTGACCTGCATTATGGGTGTCTGTAGGGTTTGCTTGCTGGTCAGATGGCAGTACGGTATATTTTTGAGCAGGGTATTCTTCTTGGGCTCAGTGAGGATCTGTTGGACACCAGGAACTCCTACATGCAGACTGGCAACAGGAGCTGCTTTTGGGTGGCTGAACTAAAAGTGTCTATTGTCGGGACTGTGGGCATTTTGCCCTGTGTGGAGGAGACAGGTGCTTGGGAACTGAAAAGGATCTCAGTAAAAAGGGAGTTTCGGGGTCGTGGCCTTGCAAAAGCTCTTTGTAAAACAGCCCTGGAATATGTTGCCAGACATGATGTGAAGACTGAAGAGGGTGGTGCTTTTCACCTCTATGGTCCAAACTGATGCTCATAAGCTGACAGCATTAGGTTTAAAAAGGAGTTTGTGTGGCCATCACTTCCTGACAGGTTGATCAATTTCATGGTGTTTAAATACGCACACAGCAGGACTGGAGGTTTCATGTCTTGCTAAAATAAGAAAAGAAAAAAAAGAAAAAAAAAAGGAAAAGTTGTATTTATATCTGTCAAGATCTCTTTGGTGGAAAAAAAACATTTGCCTAAAATGTTTAATTTGATATCAAATAAGCATAATTTTGAAATAAAAGATTCACAAAACAGCAGAATCTGTTTAATTATAAAGATAAATTACAAGAATACAGTGCACATTGGTATCCCATTATTTATCTAATTTAAGCATTAGAGGCACAAATCCCACGTGTCTGATAAATTATCTAAAAAAAATCATTAAGTCCAAGGCTCATTCAACCCTGTTACCCGTACAGGATATCAACAGCTAGCTTTATACTCCCAAATTTATTTAGACTAAATTAACTACAAACCAATATTAACTTAATATAGGGTAAATTTAATAAATTGAAACCGTGTTATTACCCTGTTCTAGCGTTTTTATATTTGTCTATTTAATCGGGATTTTAAACTGTATTTAGGCTACATATGTCCTCACGTCCAAGCAACTTCTTTCACTGAGCCAGTTTAAAAAAAAGAAAAGAAGCGAATGTCATTAGAATGGATTTTCGACCATTTGAATGAGCTTCAGACCCTGTTGTGTACCTTTTGTCGAGGTAAGTGCCAAACTCCCATTCGAAGCAGTGGCGCTCCGCTCCCGCTGTGTGTGACGTATAGCGCTCCTCAGGAAGTAGCTGTCACATCCACATTGTACGGGAATAGACACAACACGCTTAGTAAGAACAGCACCAAAAACACCACGGTAAGTTCAAATGCATGGTTTGAAATAAAGAACATGAAAGAACCGTTTAACGGCCACACATCCTCCATCTGTTTCTGCGATTGTAACTACTAATCATTCTCAGTTGAGGGATGTAGCGGCTGTAGTATAATAAATAGGCGGTGGCTGATCGATGGAAGAATTGATGGGGCTGCTGGCGATGCATTCAACCTACCATCCAATTTACTATTGCTACTATTCACTGCTACAGCTTTTACGTAAATTACAATTAAGATTGTAGTATTCTGTAATATTTATTTGTTTGTTTATTCATGGGGGAGGGAACAGACTGACCAGGCAGGTTCTTGATCAGTTTATCATCACTGCACAGCACAGACAATAAGCAAGTGTACGCAAACACACTGCTTCCATACTTATTTTATTACAGTAGTTTCATTTTTCTTTCATTTATGCTCCAAATAGTCATTAAGTATATCTTCAGTCAGAGAATGCTATTTTATCTACCTTCATTTAAGTAATGATATAATATCTATATAATTGTACAATTGATATATTTATCTGTGAAATGTATACACCTATATAAATAAACGTGTGTGTGTGTGTGTGTATACACACACGCACTGTATAATTGTATAATTTCAACCATTAGTTTTAATTTTTAGCATTATAATAAGATTTAATTTATTTATTAATCATCAAAGTATAGTAAATCTCCATACACATTATAATAATACCATGCACAGTCATGTTATTACATGACATTTATGTTCTTATCAGACACATTCTTACAATAAAATATGTTAAAGTCTCACACCATTGTTAAGGGATAATTAAAGAGAATGGAAATGAAAATTGAAAAACCCAAAAATGAAAATTCTCTCATCATTCACTCACCTGAATGCTGGTAACCAAAAAGTTGACGGTAGGCATTAACTTCCATAGTATGGAAAAAAATACTAGGGCAGTCAATGGCTATACCATCAACTGTATTATTCAAAATATATTATTTTGTCTTCAACAGAAGAAAGAAACTCATACAGGTTTGGAACAACTTGAGGCAAGGCAAGGCAAGTTTATTTATATAGCACATTTCATAGACTATGGCAATTCAAAGTGCTTTACAGAAAGGAAGTAAAATAATCACAAAATAAAAGCAAGGAAAATTAAAACAGTTATAAAAGAAATTAAAAGAGATATATGATACAGTTATAAAATGAATTAAAAATAAAAAAGATGATAGGCTACATAGATAAACTTCTCATCTGGCAAAACACCGGTGTATCATATTTTTCACCCCATCAGGGTGAGTAAATGATGACAGAATTTTTATTTTTCGATGAACTATCCCTTTAAGCTAAAATAGTGTTTATAAGTGAACGCTCTTGTGTCAGATGCAGTTTTTTCGTTCTCCTCCTTGTTGTTATTCTTTATATCCTCTCTGTCCCTATGTGTATCTTCTGCTTTTCCTATCAATCAAACCTCATTCCCTCCCCTGCTTATAGAGTGCAACAGTGCCTGCCCACTTTTTCGTTGGTTTGAGAAGTATTTTTTCTATAAATTTTTCCCCTAGGGATATTAAAAAGTTTGCATAAAAGCATTATTAGCCATGAACCAACCAGCAACGATGTGAATATCCCAACATTACAAACTTATAGGCTATTTGAAGCAAAAAATATTTGAAAATTGGACAAAAAAGAAAAAGGTACAAGACTGTGTACTTAACGGCTTTAAAGTCCCCATGAATTCAAAATTGACCATACTTACTTTGTTTGCCTAAATTGATCGTTTTGTGGTGAACAATTCATCCATGTAAGTCAATCCACACAAAAAATTTTTTGGCTTTGTAATCTTTAATCAAAATCTGAAATTTCCCCTCCCTTCTCCATTGGAGGACCTTCCCTGATGACGTAGGTTTGAAGGTTTGGGTGTCTGCTTAAAATCCGTAACCACGCCCCTCCAACTGACAGTAGACAGGCTGAATGAAAACACCTACTTTTCTAGATCCAATCAGGTGCTAGTTGGGAAAAAAGCCACGCCCACTATTTTGCCTCATTTAGTATTCCGTTTCTCTCGGAAATACGTCACAACACTGGAGAAAAGTCGTTTGCAACTTCCGGTTCACGGGGACTTTAATGAGGGAAAGAACTACAATCCCATAAAGCACTGCGAATGGCATAATCAGATTAAAAACGTTGATGGAATATAACATTTTTGATCATATATATATATTTAGAAAGAAGATATTTGA